AAAAAAAAAAAAAAAAAAAAAAAAAAAAAAAAAAAAAAAAAAAAAGAAATAAATATCTCAAATGACAAATTCGCCAGGTTTTGTGGCTCACGCCTATAATCCTAACACTTTAAGAGGCCAAGGCGGGTGGATCATTTGAGGTCAGGAGTTTAAGGCCAGCCTGCCGATATGGTGAAACCCCATCTCTACTAAAAATACAACAGAATTAGCTGGGAGTCGTGGTGGGTGCCTGTAATCCCAGTGACTCAAGAGGCTGAGGCACGAGAATTGCGTGAACCTAGAAGGTGGAGGTTGCAGTGAGCCGAGATTGTGCCTCTGCACTCTAGCGTGGTTGATAGCGTGAGACTCCATTTCAAATGAATGAATGAATGAATGAATGAAAAATTCACCAGATAGATTTATCAGCAGATTACATACTGTAGAAGAAAGGATCAGTGAACTTGAAGATAGATCAATCTAAACTATCCAAATCAAAGCACAGAGAAAAAATAGACAAAAGGAAAATGAACAAAGCTATAATATCTTCAAGGATATTATGCAGTTTAACAATTGTGTGGTTTACAGGTCCAGAAGGAGGGAGGACAGAGAGATTGGGGTAGAAAAATATCAGGAGAAATAATCACCAGAACGTTTTGATATTTGTTTAGAAACATAAACCCACAGATGCAAGAAACAACAAATCCCAAGCAAGATAAACACAAGGAAAATCAACGCATATGCACATTATGAAAACCAAAGAAAGTCTTAAAAATAGCCAGAGGAAGAAAGACATATTGCCTATAAGCAAACAGTGATAAAAATTATCAGTGACATCTCATCAGAAACAATGCAAGCCAGAAGTCAATGTATTCATTCTAAAAGTGCTGGAAAAAACCAAAAATTGTCAATCCAGAATTTTGTATTAGTGAAAGTATTCTTTAAAATGAAGGTAAAATAGAGACATTTTCAAATGAACTAAAGCTTAAAGAATTTGTCACCACTAGACTTACACTCAAAGAAATGTTATAGAAAGTTTTTCAAACTGAAGGAAAATAATACCAGATGGAATTTAGATCTACAGAAAAAAGTAAATAGGGCCAGAAATGGTAAATATGTGCACAAAAATAAAATGCTCCCTCCCCTCCACATATCTTGATTTTTAAATTTTTGTTTAAAGAATTTAAAAAATTCCTGTTCATGTAAAAAACAATGTGGGCTTTGTAATATATTTTTTGAAATGCAATGTATAGCAGTAATTGCATAAAAGTTGGGAGTACTATAAATGATACTATGCTATTGTGAATTTCTTACTTATGACATGAAGGGATATAATGTTTAGGATAGCCTATGCTAAATTAAGCATACATATTTCAATTCCTAGAGCAAACATTATCTAAGATAGATACATAGCTAAGAATCCAGTTGAGGGGATAAAATTGAACAGTGAATAAATATTTGGTTAATTCAAAAGAAAGGAAAGGAGGAAAAAGAACAAGGAAGAAAGAAATGATAAAGAACAAAGCAAAGATAGAATGAATAGAATCCAAAAGCAAGATGATAGACTTAGCACCAACCATATCAATAATTACATTAGATGCAAATGTACTAAATAGTCTAGTTGAAAGACAGAGATCATACTGGATTTAAAAAACAAAACAAAACAAAACAAAAACCCAAGACCCAATCATGCTATTTCAAGAGATGCATTTAATGATATTTTATTACTTTTTAAATTTTTAAATAATTTTAAATTTGTGGAAAAGTTGTGATAATAACAGTAGTACAAAGAACAGCCATATACCTCTTTATTTGGATTCAGCTTTTCTTAATGTTTTACCACTTTATTACCTATTTTCTCTATCTGTGTATATATGGGGACACGGACACACACACACACACACACACACACACACACACACACACACACACACACACACACACTTACACTTACTTTTCTTTGAAAAACTGACCGCAAGTTATTTACTCTGTTCTCTCTGTTCTTGTTTTTGTCAGCTGACCCAGTAATGTTCTATATAGGAGTGTTTTTCCCCTCCAGTAGAGAAACCAGTTTAGGATCAGGTATTGCATTTAGTTGTCTTTAAACGTGAACATTTATCATTTTTTTTTCTTCTATGATAATGGCACTTTTGAAAAATATATCTCTCCTTTTAATACAAGTTTGTCATTTTGGGTTTTAAAGATACACTTTAAACCTAAGATTAAAAGTATGAGAATGGAAAGAGATATACCATGAAATACTAATAAAAACAGTATTACACAAATACATTATTAGAATATATAAATGTAATTATTTGTGTTTTAGAACTTGAATATGTCAAGGCCTAGAAAGTGCATTATGGACTATGTACTTTTACTATGGCAAGGTCATAAAATACTTTCTGAATAAGTTTTTATAACCGCCTAGCTTTGGCTTTTACTTATATTCTAAATTGAAAACAACTATTAAATTTGTTAGGATCCTATTTATAATACTGCTACCATGTGGAATTAGTTAATGATTATGAACAAAGCAAGATACCATGTCTTCCCTAACTCTGCCCTTACTTAGTAATTGTCAGCTGTATATTACTCCTGTACAGCTGAAAACGAAACCAATTATTTCATAATAAAAATGATTGTAATGAACTAAGCAACTTT